TGAATGAATGAATGAATGAATGAATGAATGAATGAATGAAATATACTTTCTGTATATATTTAAAGATAGGAATTTGAAATCAGAAATTTGAAACTAATTGTGAAGTCATCGGATTAATTTGCATTGTTTTTCCAGTGAAAATTTATATATATACCTCAAAGTTTTGCTGAGTGAGTAAGTTTAAGAACTTGTATATTGTTACTGATATGAAATCCAATATTCTTACACATATTAACCAACAAATATTGCGTTCAAATTAATGAGTGTTTTTTTGAAGTTCAGCTCTGAAAAAAACATTTAAATCTTGTAAAATATTAAATCTTTCAGTACGACAAAGTATGTACATTTCCTTCAATCAGGTCCAATTGCTGTTTGGCAAGGTATGGCGCATCAAGTTCGGATCGGCAATGAAAATAAGTGTCTTGGTTACCATGGTGATGGTAACGGTTCTTACTCGCTTGGAGTTGAAGAATGTTTTGATCCAAGTTCTTCTCTAAAATCAAATTATTCGCAGGATTTTATCTTGACGCCATGTGGTAAGTAAATGCACCAGTCTATACAATGAAAACATACATACAATACTTGTACTGCTTTATGTTCAGAGGACGTCAATTTGATTAACTTGTAATATACTTGCGTTATGTTCGAATTAAAATAAAATAAACATGTAATGCACGAGTTCGGAAGTATTACTTATTATTATACATCTGTCACCGTAACGCCATAAGTTACAGCGTGCCGTAATTTTGCGGTATTTTACGCGTTGGTCGATACTCCAGCTGTACTGTCTCGGTGCATACTTTGAGGTATTCTCGTAATAACCTTATATATATATATATATACATTTATATTGTTGTTGTAGTAAATAATTTAATACGAACAGAACTAAAATCGCGTCACATCTGTCCCTTACCTTCATACAGGCAATTATATTTTTCTCGAAAATACCAATTCTAAAAATACTCCAGTCCAACCCGTATTTTCAAATAGGAAGCCGTTCAACTTGAGCGTAAACTTATACGTGTTATTTTGTCCACAGACAATTGCCATGACACCAGGATTAGTTTCTTGAACTTGATAGATGTGCAACTACGCATGTGTAATGTTGGAGATTTCACAACAGGTCGTGATTGGATGATAATGGTAGAGGTGTCGAGTATTGGACATGTTATTTTCCGTGGATTGGTAGCCAAAGAATACGGTAACACGGCAACCTTCAGCGCCGAGGTCACGAGTGGTATCTTCCCAATTGCTATCTTTACACGAACTGTTAAAATAGAAGGACATGTCAAACTGTGGGTAGATGGTAGGTTACCCTGGGTTAAATAGTATGCATTTTGTTTGTACCAAGGTATTCACATTCGTTCCATTGGGATTAATACGCTTCCGATAATTTGACGCTATTTTCACTGTAACATACTGTTCCGTAACAATGAACCATTACGTCAATTACTTCAATTACCACTCGGCGTTCACACTATCAAAGTTCAATCTCTTCCCATTGTATCTGAATTGTTTGTAGACACCCTGATTAATATGTCTCAACACGTGTCATTGAAATTGTTCAAGAAAATTAGTCACGTGATACTTTCTGCAGCGTGTTAGAAAGTCATGATATGAATTTGAAATAATCCCGAAGTTGTTAGAAACTGTTCTAAAGTAGATTTTCAATCCATGCCCTGTTTCTTTACGAATGTGATTATATTGCATGACGTGAGTTTAAACCCGGTGGCGCCACTTTCTCTCCATTCTTTCTTTAGGTGGCGTTTATTTCGTCATAGAGTCAGCTGTAACTAATCCGTCCGTTCCGTTTCTCGACGCCATCTTGTCTGCGTTTGAAATGTCCTTTATCGTTTCTACAGTCGACGTACTGGATATCAACACAAATACGGGAGGGTTCCAAAACTATTATTCAGGTAATTAAATATATTGTAACCAGGGGCGATACTTGATCGGTGATGTTGAACTTCCCAAATCGTTTATGACATCGATTAGCGGTGGTCATTTTTCAAAAGCATTTCATCTGGTACAAGTTCGGTTAACGAACCCCACCTGTTGATGTTTTATTATAAAAAAATCCGTATCAGCCTAATTAAATCGTCGAACCTTGGCAAATGTAGGAACTATGACTGTTTTTTTTTTTTCAAAATTAAAAGTGTCGGAAACCGTAAACATACATGCATGCACGCCTTTATTTACTGAAATATGTATACAGATATCATGTGTTCAGGTTACTTTTATTCTCACCCGAATCCAATGCCTACGTACAATGCAAAACTGAGTAATAAATCGTACTAAACATAAAGTCACGGGCAGCTTTTTAATCTTTTATTGCAGGATATGGTCAAAAAAAGTAGCGAGCTGTCTTTTGGAAATATTTAACAACAACAACAATTAATATATTTTCAGTCTTCAACCATATGTTATTGAACTATAGAAACCACATATGTTGACGGAACCACAGTACAGCAACTGTCTTTATCAGTTATCACTGGAATTAAGGAAATATAACTGTCGTGTTCAATGATTTGCAAGCAAAGGATCATTTTGTCAAGTGGCCGCCGTGATGTCATTGAGAATGAGACAGTAATGAGACCCCCACCCCCAGGGGTTACATAGAAAATACTATAGTGAACACGGTGTGGGCAGAGAATGGAATACGATTTGAGGTGCAAACAAGTCTCATGGCTCTCGCGTTCTGAACGAGATCTCGGCGGACATGTACGAATAGGGATGTGCTAATAGAATAAGAAGCACATTTCAATGCACGTTTGTATTGTAAATCAATTTCCTAATGTCTATATTCATTATTCATGAGCTTTGCATAATAAATAAGACTTGCTTAATCTTTTGTTCGCTTTAATTTTTCGTGCTAAAATGTTGGTGCAACAGATTTTATATACATATTTCAAGAATTTTGGACCAAAAAGATTTGCCGACAGGTTCAACAAATGAAAACAGTCTGTGTAATTAACATTTTACAAATCCACTTATTCTATTGTTTTGTATTGCCATTTGAACACGCATTTAATAATAAATGGCATAAACAGATTGGTTTTGCAAATCAGCATTTCTTACCCCCACTAATTACTAAAACACATGTCTGCATTGCTTAACCAATTTTTATGAAATTTTCGCTCGTATGCGATTTTGATTAATATTTATGAACAGGGATAACTTTATATTTGTTGAGCTGTAATCTTTAATTCTTTTAAGTGAAAAAGTACAAAATGGACATTTTAAGGACAAATAAAACAACAATAAAATAAATAACTTCTAGAAACTTAAAATTATGTGTTCAAAAATTCTATAAAATGTGAGAAACGGGCTTGGATATGTGTGTCCATAAAAATGACCCGTGTCCTTGCATTTTAGCGTTATTTCGGAAATTTAGTTGAAAACTGGTTTGACTTTGACATATTCTCATTCAAACAACATTGCCGTCAAAAGAATTTAATCGTGCCTCGAATTAAACACCGATTATACGAGAAACTTGTCTATCGTCCTTAGATAAGCAAATACAAATCTTATAAGTAAATCGGAAAAGTGAATTGTAGATTAAAGGTAGATAAACTCCTATAAACATTTCTTCAAGCTTAGACTAAAAATTATAGCTGATCAAAAAAAATTGAAATGCTACTCCTTCACAAATGAGTATTAAAACAAACTAGCACTGCTGTTTTGTATGGGGTGAGAATACCGCCAGAATTAGCTTGGTGTCATTATTTGAACATTGTTTAGTTGTTTGGTCTTTATTTGGAAACTTGTTTGGTTATTATTTGGTCATTATTCGGTTATTTGGTCTTTATTTAAACATTATTTTGTGCTTATTCCATTAGTGTGTTATTACTGCAGCATCGTATTGCTATTGTTTCATTATTCCAACTTTATTTCTTAATTATTTCATTATTGTGTAATTGTTACAATATTATTTTGTCATTGTTTCATTCTATTACAACAATTGTGTCGTTATTTAGACATTATCTTGACATTCAATTGTCATAAGATTCGGTTATTTTCACGTCCAAATGTCTTGACATTCGGTTCGCTTGACTTGCGATTACCTCAACATTCGATTACCTGACCTACATTAGCTGACCCCGCTATACATGTAATATTCAATCCATAGTCCCGGGCCGCCTCCGATAAAGCGTTGCTCATGATGGCAATGTAGCCTTTGTAAAAGTTAGCGGGAATTTCTGAATGATGGCCGTTTCATCAACATCCAGGGAACTGACTGAGGTCGTCGGAGCCTGTCGTGACGAAATATCAAATGCCGCAAAACTTGTTGTTGACACGACGCGCTCCTAGCGAAATTCGCGAGAGAATATCCGACTTGATCATTATATGATGACCAGAATGTGCTAAGAACCGTTCACAAGACTCGTTACCGTGTCGTCCAGTCGTCTTCGTTGAAAACTCGCCAATTCACCATAATCGTGGTGGTGAACTGTTTAGCTGATTTTTCAAAAGATCTTATGGATATTCAATTCATATTCATCCCAACTTATTTGAATATATCTATTCGGAAATTTGAGACATTGTTCAAACGATCCTGTACAGGTTTATGTCTGATGTCAACTAATAATACGCAATTATCCAGGCAGTACTAGAAACTATTGCTGATACTAATCATGTTTTGTAAGCTGGGAAGTTGGATACTTGAACGTGTAGTCCCTGGGGGTGTAGTAGACAAGAATAATCGTCCTGTCACATGTTCTCGTCTTAGCCTTGTCTTTTCGTTTTAACCGTCACAGTCCGCTTCATTGAATGTTTAGTTTGTTAATTGATGAACATATATTCATTGTGAGACTGTTGCCTTCATGTTGTGTTAATACAAATATGATTTAAACTTGTCCCTCCGTGGCCAACGTATTCAATATATGTGTGCGTTTGCGTGAGTGATTGGGGGAAATAACAGCGAAAATTATTTCCAGCTAAAATAAAGTATTTTACTGTATATCAATTAGCCTTTGCGATCCCGGAATAAGATACTAGTAGTTGACCCTAAAGTACTCCTAACCCTAAGTCATAACATCTCAGACTGCTATAGTAACATTGACATGCGTGCATCAGTGTTTTTTTTTTTCATTCAAAAGATTTAGGGACACGGAAAAAACACGCAGAAATAATTTTTCCTTGTTTATACTCCACACAAAGTAATTTGTCAGTCGTGGCGAGTATGTGTGACAGTTTATTACTTCTGTGTGAATATAATTAAATTATGTAATTTTTGGTACGGTATCACTCTTTTGGGAAGATAATGGTGGCTCTGAAAAGAAACGTTTAGTTTAGTTTCGTTAGAAAACGATATGAATTTACTCCAATCTATGACCCGCGTATGTGTGTGCGTGGGGGGGGGGGGTCGATCTTCTTAGCAGTGAAACTGAAACGGGCACGTGAAAATTACAACTCAACCTCGATTTATTTTTCAATAGCATACATACATAGTGGCAGCGGCGGCCCCACGAAGAAAATGTTAGGGCCTCGCCCCTTCAAAATCAAGCGGAAACCCTTTGTGTCAGCAATATTTCCCCCCTAATGCAGGAAATAGCGTTTTTGATTTCAAATTTTTGCATGCCCCGGACCGCCTAGAGGTTGTGAGCAGATCTCGCCCCCGATGTAAAATTTCGTGCCGCCCCGTCTGAATTACAGATGTGCCAAAAACGTACAACGTTGCCATAGATCTAGTCGAGTAACAATTTTTAGGGCGGAGGCGTTCTCATTGACCTAATACGGTGTTTACTCCGATGTTCGAACAAATATTGGCCAAATTAGAGCTCGGTGTGCTTACTAGTAGTTTCCTGTAGGATTACATGCATAAAATGAAATACAGAGAAAACATATGGTTATGAAATGATGATTCTAAGAAGTATACTGTCAATAAATGTGATATGAATAAACACAAACATACATTATACTATAAACCGCCAAAGGTTATATATAAAGATCCATAAAACGAATGAATCCCGCCCACACATACTATAATAATAATAGTTTATTACGCAACTGTATTCTGCTGTGGATACAGTAAGGTAAAAATAGTGTAAAATAAAACAAATAAAAAATAACTACAAAAATAGTAAAAAATAGTGTAAAATAAAGCAGCTAAAGATAACTACAAATTTAAAAGTTCTAATAACTACAAAAAATCAGAAAGTAATAAAAATACAGTAAATAAAGTAAAGGTAAAGGTTCTCCCTACCCAGGGGTTTACACAGGCGGTGCTTTGTTTATTTAGTTCATGGCGCAACTTATGAAAACCCGTTGCAACCGGGGCATGCATTTCGATGGAATTCAGCTCCTCGTCTACTAAATAACAAATTACTAGTCAACTACAGAATTGGGGTTTGTCAACCGTCGGAATAAAGTACTTTGGCCAGTAATATATGGGGAATTTGACGGAGGAGACATTCACAGCAATCGAATCAAAACAAAATTGAAACTGTGAAACTGCTTTACGAAAACCCCGAATACAGCATAACTATGATTACTGCAGATGCGAGGCATGGCTGGCGAAAAACTGTCGTGACACTGACGTGATTGTTATTGGCAATGAAACCCACAAATTCATTATTGCCAATGCAGTTGTTACCAACGAAGACATCCGATTCGTAGCGCCATGAAATGAATGGCGCGCTATAAATCAGCCGTACAAGTATATCGGCATCTTGACAATAATGGAGTGAATGTAAAAAAATCACGCCCATAACAGGAATATGTCTGTTAATAAGTACATGAGATAAGAGAGGCCGGGGAATGAGTATCAGAATGATACATGGTTCAAATTTTACTAAAAAAAGAAAGAACCGTGATGGCACTACCAAGTCCACCGAAAGGCCGGTTATTGACCGTGTCAGCCGGCGTGTCACGATCAACTGTGTAATAATTCCTCCTCACTTCAGTCATCGCATTTGGAGAAGTAATATTCTCTAACCAGCAGGCTCTGACGACCTCAGTTAGTTCCCTGGATGTTGGCGAAACGACCATTATTTAGAAATTCCCGCTAACTTTTACAAAGGCCACATTGCCATCTTGAGCAATGCTTTATCGGAGGCGGCCCGGGACTATGGATTGATTACTACATGTATAGCGGGGTCAGCTAATGTAGGTCAGGTAATCGAATGTTGAGGTAATCGCAAGTCAAGCGAACCGAATGTCGAGGTAATCGCAAGTTAAGCGAACCGAATATCAAGACATTTGGACGTGAAAATAACCGAATCTTATAACAATTGAATGTCAAGATAATGCTTAAATAACGACACAATTGTTTCATTAAGAAAGAATGACAAAATAATATTGTAGCAATTACACAATAATGAAATAATTAAGAAATAAAGTTGGAATAATGAAACAATAGCAATACGATGCTGCAGTAATAACACAATACTGGAATAAGCGCAAAATAATATTTAAATAAAGACCAAATAACCGAATAATAACCAAATAATAACCAAACAAGTTTCCAAAAAAGACCAAACAACTAAACAATGTTCAAATAATGACACCAAGTTAATTTTGGCGGTATTCTCACCCCATAGTTTTGTATATTAATCATCCTCGTAGAGGATTTGATGAAGTGCGTATTTAATTTTGTGTTGTGCACCTGAACTATTGCTTAATTGTAAACAAAAAGTGAGTAACGTGAGGTGGTAGAATCGACGCCGAAGTCACAGTACAGTGAAACACGACTGCATATAAATGATGAAACTCACAAATTAAGTAGTGTAATTGAGATTGTGTTCTGTGGGTGAACTATTCAACTTATTCAAGTCGTATCAACGTTTTCAGCTTTCGAACCAAATATGATTTTTAACATTGCTTTTACAACTTTCCATGTAATGTTACCAACTTTCAAAGCAACTTTTTTGACATTTCAATAAACTATTTCGAAGTTGCACCCACAAGTTTCAAATTCTCAATTCACATGTTCTAACCAACTTGTTTGACCTGTTTCGATTTTCCAATCAATTCTTCTTTTACATTCAACAACGTTTTGAGTATCCTTTTCCAATTTGTTAACAACTTTAACACATTTTCCGACATTCTAATCACCTTTCAGACAAACATTTTCAACTTTCACCAAAAAGTTCAGTCATTGCATCCTACGTTTTCGACCGTCCAAACAACTTTTTCAATTCACCAAATTTCCGACTTTCCAGGCTACATTTATAGCATTCAAAACGAACTATGTTATGTTTCAGTTAAGTATGTTAACTGCCCGCCCAACATTTTCGACTTTCCAGTTAACATTTATTTTACGATTTTACAGTACGGTTTTATGTCTTTCTAATACGAATTTTCGACATGGCGTTTATTTTTTAAAACCTTCAATGTAACTCTAACAACTTCAAAGGTGACTGTCACAACCTTCCAGCAATATGATTAAACTAAGATCCTAGTTTGTTTGTTTTTTTATTTGTAGTTAATTATTTATTTATTTATTTTTATTATATATTTTCTTTTACTTTGTACATAAACAATGAACAAAATAATTAAAAAAAAATAGTGAGTGAAATAAATAAATATATATCATAAAAAAATATTATACATCTGTCACAGTAACGTCATGAGTTACAGCGTGCCGTAATTTTGCGGTATTTTACAGGGTATTTTCATCCGACCATATTAGGAAATGCGAATTCCAAATATGGAATGATTACGCGCATAAGCGTCCTCTAATAATAATAAAAAAACATGGTTGCCACCAGAGTTTGACCGGACTCCATACAAAGAAGTTCGCTGATTCTGTTCTTAACGTTTTAGATTTCGGCATTCCCCATGATGTGTCCTTGGAAGGAAAAGATGTATAATAATAATGTTATAATATACGCCGTACAATACATCAGATTTTAATCAGATTGGACCTTCCAGAAAACTTTTTGATTTCTAACCAAATTTATTCATTTTTGTCTGCCAATACATTTTTTTCGATATTCGAACCAGCTTTTAAAACTTTCTAACGAACTTTGGCTTTCATCCAATTAATCATTTTTTTCGACTTCCAGAATAACTTTTTTTTTGCAAATGAGTGGCTTAAGACATGAATGGTGGCTCCATACGTGTACAAATGAGAAAACTATTATAGAAATTACACTTTCCTTAATTGTATAGTATAGTTTATGTATTGATAAATTTAAAGCACTAAGGGCACTTGCTAGGTTTAGATGTTATCGTTATCCTCTCGAAATAGACATTAAGGAATTAACGTGGAGGCGAGACTTTGTAATTTATGCTAAATAAAAATTGGTAATGAGTATCTTACCTCAAATGTCCGGCATGGGACTGACAGAGAAAACACTATCTACCTAAAGAACTATGCAAACTATTGACTTGTCTGGCCGATATGGTGTTCCTTGTATTAATTTAAATATGAAAGACTGGTGGTCTAATTTATTGGCAAATAATTAACAGTAAATTTTCCAATGACGTCTACAAACTTTCAACTTTTTTAAACTTCAGGCAACTTTTACAAAGTTCGAGCTAACTTTTTTTCCCAACCAACCTGCAATACATTCCATGAAAGTTTCAAAACTACATTTCCGGTCAACTTTTTCTGATTTCATTTAACTTCACATTTTCGATTCGATCCTTATCGAGATTCAAATCACTAACTGATGCGACTTTGGGGTATCCATTTTTGTAAATGGTCTGCAGGTGATTGTACTTGACAGGGCCCGTGTTAGGATAACGCATTCAATTGCCACAACGATAGGAAGATGGTCACACAGCCTAATCTCAATGTTGGAGCCGAGCCCCCTCAATTTTAATTCTATATTCCTTCCGAAAAAGTATAGTTATCTGGAGGGGTAACACAATTACATTAAGGTCTCGTACATTTACTCAACTTGTGGGTGAAAACCATACAAAACGACAATGACAAGATATACGTGGTTGTTTTGTTTTTAATTATTGAAATAAAATAATCTATATAAATAATTAGAACTTCCATACTGTATATTCAATTTAAGGCAAACGTTCACCACAGTCTCCGCAATCAGTGCCAAGTTCACAAAGTCCGTAACTACTTCCCGCTCCGCCATCATCGCACTCTCCGTCGTAAGACCATTCACATGAATTTAAACATGATACAGCACCCGAGCGTGGCCCACAGTCTTCGCAGTCTGTGCCGTATGAACAAGCGCCTAGACTACTGCCCTGACCTCCATCGTCACAAACACCATCGTAAGACAAACTACATTCGTCTGTACAGATCAACTGACGTGGACCACAGTCTCCGCAGTCGGTACCCATAGCACAAAGGTTGTAACTGCTCGCCGGACCGCCGTCATCACACGCACCGTCGTAAGCCCATACACAATCGTCGGTGCAGACCATCGATATAGAACGCGGACCACAGTCACTGCAGTCTGAGCCATATGGACAGATACCATACATACTACCAGCTCCGCCATCATCGCATTCACCATCGGCCGGCCAGGTGCAATCATTGGTACATATCATTGGTTCCGGCGTTGGCTCCACTTCGTTACCACAACCTGAATTATCTGCAAGAACACGTCAAACAAGAGTCATTTAAATCTTACAAAACGCAATTCACAGTCATTGTGCTTTCGTGGGTAATTAACACTTCATAGCCGACGTTTTCAGAATTAAAAAAAATGACCCCCCCCCCACACACACACACACAAATTGCTTAATTTTATATAGTCGAGAGCGCAACATTACAAGAGATGTTGCGAACCGTCTTGCACACAAAGTCGTCAATTTCAGCTGTTAAAATTCGGGCACGCACACATTTACATCGTTCATACATGTATACTAAACTGAAATATCGATTTCTCTGAAAATTGTACAAAGGCAGTTTTAGGAAATTACAAGTTAAAATAGATGTTCCAGTTGAATCCAATCCCAGATCGACAACTCACCAAGTATGCCTTGTATAACTTCAATGACGTATTCCAGCTGCTCCACACATGCAGTTGTATCTGGTTCTGGCACAACTCCTGGCTTCTCGCGATATATAGACTGAGCACCAACATTGCCAGATACCGGCTTGTTGCCGCTCGCTGGTGCCGCAGAAGCAGGCATGGAATTACTTCCTCGGGTTGGTGCCGCAGAAGCCGGTATGGCGTTACTTCCTCGGGTTGGTGCCGCAGAAGCCGGTATGGCGTTACTTCCTTGGGCTGGTGCCGCAGAAGCCGGTATGGCGTTACTTCCTTGGGCTGGTGCCGCAGAAGCCGGTATGGCGTTACTTCCTCGGGTTGGTGCCGCAGAAGTCGGCATGGCGTTCATCCCCGAAGAGGGAACGACGGTGGCACGGTTATAGTCACGAACACGTGGTTTATGCCCGTATGCAAAATGGCGGTCCAACAATCCTCGAACATCTACCGTTGCATCGACAACCAGTGTACCCAACACCAACACAAGCAGAATGCCAGGATTTATCATCTGAGGAGAAAATTAAAACTTGAGTTAGCAACAATAATCACACGGAGCTAAAGTAATTGAAATTCTAAGAAGTGAACGAAGTGTAACCTTTGTGAATGTTTGTCAACGTGTTAGGTGAACACCAGGGAACTAACACCTCTGCACTGAGTGGATCCAATTTATAGCGGGTTGAAGAATACGTCATCGTAATCACCTGCACATATTTTACTTCTGATAGCAAATTGCGTGTGTGCATAACAACCAATCGTCTTCTTTCTCTTAAACTTTATTGCAATGTTTTGTGAGACAGTCACGTTGATTGGATGTTGCTGGTGGCGTTCGGTCTGACAGGTATACACTAATTTGCATTTACCTGTACATCGAGACCTTCCATTAATTAGTATAATGTTGTGGCAAAAATGTTTTCCGAGTTTTCTTTCTAACCATCTACAACAAAAGTTGGTTATAAATGCGAAATTCAGGGATGTTTTCAGGTCTTGTTTTTTTTCGTGATTTACAAAACGTGAATAGAACGTTGTCACCTATGTATTTTAGAAAATGTTCGAATTTTAAACAATGTATTTTACACGCATTGTTGACGTCGCAATGAGTTTCATATCGCACAGGACATTAAAACAATATAGTGGTAACATTTCACTTTTTGAAAATCATGAAAAAAAAGACTCGGTCGATTTTATTCCGATATTTGCGAGGTAATGTCATACTCGTTTAAGTGCAACGAGAACAAGACTTTAAAAATATATGCAAATTTGGGTAGCAACTTTAAAAATATATGCAAATTTGGGTAGCAACTTCCAACGCGTGTTGAGCCGTTGGTACACACGTGTATATGTGATCGGGAGAGTCCGATTAAAATAAGATTGTTTGTTTTTTTCTAATTTTGCTTTAAATATTTGTTTAATTATATATTTTTATCATAAAATTTCTTTTACTTTCTTTTAATTTATTATTTTTTTTTAAAGTTTTGGTAATCGCAAAACTATGCAAATTAAGATGTACGTAATAAAAATAATTACAAATATAATAGTATATTCAAAATATATAAAATTAGATTAAATTCGAGACATACAATACATCAGATCGGATTGGTGGTCAGGTGTGTGTTTAATATATACAGATGCAGAGCAATCCTGAAAAGATGAATAACACAAATTTTGTTTTATCATTTATGAATTTTGAGCTTGACTAGGTGCAACGTTTTAAATTTCAGTTTTAAATGGGAATTCTCTCTCAGTTATTGAAAAAAATAATGGCCAAGCTAAGTACGAACTGTGACTTTCGTATGTACAATCAGTATCTGTAACTCCTACTCTATGAAGGTTTGGTGCCACTATTCTGTTAGCTGCCAGTGGTCATTAATAATGCAGATACGTACTTTAGTCCTAAAAATACTTATTGTTTTCTTTATTTTTGCTTGTAAAACTGTTTCTAATCATGATTCTCATTATCCTGTGTTTGAAAGAATCCTAAAAAGACGACTTTTTAGATTAAATGGCATCACATCTAATTATATGCAGCGTTAACAAGTTTATATTACATTCATGTAAGCAACTGCATACAGCATTAAGCTTTAAATACCATACAACGCTTGTTTCGTGCTCTGTTAATTCAGAATTAGAAATATACTTAAATTGATAAACAAAACACAGGGCGTGTTTCTTTTGGTTTACAAATGTTTCACTTATGAAAGAAACAGATGTGTTCTCAGAAAGCTAATTCTACTAATTCTACTGATTAAACATTTATTCACTCAAAATATTTTATTCGACCAGTTTTCGAGACAGTTTCAAGAGTGTACTCAACAACTTCATGATGTGCTGCTGTAAAGAGAAAGTCCGCACGACGCTAAATGATGCCCTCTGTCGGTATTTGACGCTCAGCTCGTCAGACAGTTTGTTCGGCCTGACAGGTTTTCTTTATTTATTTCTCGCTGTTACCATACTTCACATTCTAACACGAATGATCAACAGACTGAACATGAAACAAATTAGACTGGATGACGCTAGCAAGGTTTCTAACATGGATTTTCGTGGGAACAATTCCAACACAAATTGTCTATTTACTTGCATAATTTGCCACAAAACTAATTCGTATGCACTGGGCAAAATGTACATTATTATGTAACAAGTTGGACAGAATAGAAAATTGTTTCCCATATTTAATTGGTCAATTTGACGAACATTAGCCTGTTACGATTATAATTCTAACCGTTTCGTTGTTAATTCAACAATCAAACCGTTGAACTTTTATGATAATAGTAACTTAGTTAAGAATGAGTATTGTCTATTCACAGTCCATAGAAAGTTCATCAACATGAAAGCGTACCAAAACCAGAAGTTGAACTTAAATTAGAACTAGATCTAGAAAAATCAACCTTCCGATATTACATCCCGCCATTATTTCTCTACGTATGCGAAGCATGTACACATATGATATCCCATGGAAATTTGAAATGTGTATGTTGGGAGACATGAGGAAGAAACAACCATGTCAGTCAACGCATGGTGTTTATACTTATAAAGATGCTTATAAAAGTTATAGCCCCAACTGTTATAATTAGAAATCAGTCAGGTTTAAATCCATACGAGACAGTCCACAGTTCAATTGGCTCCAAAACAATAAAATGCACAATGATATAATTTTACGTCACAAAAGCGTTTCGTCTTTAGAGGGCGCATTTCGTCGTGTTTGACATGAGACCGATGTGACGTATGCAAGGTGTGTTGATGGAATGACAGCAGTGTTTAAAACTTGTGCATTCACCGAACATTTAATCTAGCTTGTTTCGCCAGCCGTACAAGTCGCGCCTCGATGACTGTTGTACACAGCTGTTTGGCTACGAAAATCGTTCGATATTTAGCAAAGCATTCTAATCCAGCAACCAATCAGCGATGACACAGAATACTGTGCCGACTATGAAGTTACGTAGCGATTCAACAAGGTCATTTTGGGGTGTACAGGTCTGAATTCCAGGTCATGCATGCAGACAGTTTAGAATCGAAACTGCCGAGGTGATGTTTACGTTTACACAGCCTGTACACCCGTGACCAATGATACCTTATATCATGCTTCAGATCAGACACACGTGATTAGTATTTGTACACACAACACCATTTTCAAATTCTTCGTGGTAGCACCTGTATATATATATATAACTATGCACATGTGTTTGTTTTATGTCAAGAATACCGAATGGTGACAATTTTCGTGCTTAAAATTCATCGAAATTAAACATATCTTTCATCCCGAAACCTAATCTCAGTCGTGCATATTTCATTCGAACTTAGTATCTCTGTGAAAGAAAATGAGTTTTTGTTGCACGTCACGATCCGGTGTCCATACGCGCATACATTTAATACTACTTCCTGATATTCCACGACTAAAAAAATTACGACTTTTTAATACGTTAAAAATAGATAACATTTAGGAGTCATTGTGAGCAGCGGATTTGTCCACGAGGTTAACAGTGTCAATTGGGGTGTCCGTTCTGCACCGAAAATATGATACTTTCGAAAGACAGTATGCGACTTTCTATTTAATGCGAGTGTGCACTGAGAAGCTGCATCATCATTGGTGGACTATTGTGCGAGAATTGTGTTGAATACGAACTTAATCGGTGCAACCTTCTGCTCTACGGACCCGCGGCGATTCTTAGCCCGAAACTCCTCGATGACTTGGGTACACTATTACAGATTATGATAGTAAATGCCACTGACGTGGTCAGTATTATCAGGCCCGTAGCCAGCACTTTTGAATTGGGGGTTCGAAACAACAATAATATATTTGATGTGAAACGTGTGAATTTTATAATATTCAAAAAGTGTCTTTGAGCTCTGTTACATACATCTTTATATTCTCGGTTTTAAATTCAATTGGTTTACTTTGTGTTACGTTGGTAAGTTATTTTACATAACATCTTCGAACTACTTTACTATTTTAGAGAAGGGGCCCTGAGC